ATATATGTATATTATATAATATGTATAGGTTTGATGGCTTGTGAACTTACAATCTGACTTGTACTAACTTGTACTGTAAATTACTTAAAGGTTTGGTGTGTGCAATTTGTGGTGATCTAGATCTAGTGGTGAGGACTGAAGATTGCAATGAGCTAAAACTTCTCCCACTTAGAATTTCTTCAGTGTTCAGTGCTGTTTTTTACCAGGAGCCAAATTATCCACAGAAATCTCCTCCTCTCCAAAACAAACAGATCAGGTGATTAAAACTGGTTAAAACACTGAATAAAACAGTTTCACGTTATAAATCATTGTTTGTCCTATGCTGTTCAACATGTGTGAGACTGGCCGCTAGCCCAGCACCTACTAATGTGTGCTCATCTTTTATCTCTGATAACTTAAAATCCAGATATTCCGGAAGTTTTTACTATGAGCTGAATTATCTGCAGACGTCTCTTCCTCTCCAAAACAAACAGACCCTGTGATTTAAACCGATAAAACATTGAATAAAGCAGTTTCACATTAGTGTTGTTCCAACACTCTTGTCATAGAGGGGCTACTTACTGTGGTGGCCAATGCAAAAAAGCAGAAATGCAAATGGCACTATCTAGAGCCAGTGTTTGGTTTGTCCATTCTGGGCTACTGTAGAAACATGGTGATCTCCGTACACAAGGACCTGCTTCCTATTGTTATCTCTCTCTCGGTGACAGCTTAATTTTAGCTTTGCTTGTTATTAGCTGGGAACTAGCTTCTAGCACTCCGGACCACTCTGCAGAAGGAAGGACGGCGAGGCGTTTGGGTGCCATTCACTCACAATGGCTTTATTGCAGTCTTCATCACAAAACAATACACAAGGCCTTCTCATGAGGGTGAACAGTAGCCCTGAGCTTATCTAGACACTTAATTCTCCTGCTATCATCACTACCTGTGCATGCATCTTCACCATGACACCCCAAGAGAGCTACTTCCCTCCACAAGTACACGTCACACTCTCACACAGGTTATCCACAAGGCCGTCGCCCTTAAAGGGACAAAAGGGTGAGCTGGTAACACTATGCAGACATTAACAATTCATTTTAAAGTAACAACAACACAATGATTCTTATTTTCAGGTGCTTATACACTAAAGAAAACATACTGATTATATTATACTTCATTTCTGCCAATTTGTCCCCCTAAATCCTACACACTGAACTTTTAAATCTCAACATATTTCACATTTCACACATTTTTATTTTAACATTTGAAACGTTTTTCTTGTTTAGTTTCACAGTTGGACACATTTCTGTCTTAAAATGCTTCTTAACATAGTCCCATATGTTGCTGTATGATGTGTAGCTCTACTATTCCTTCTCGGTGAAGCATCCTGTACCAAATGAGCCATCAGAGGGCGTCATTTCACTATCGTCTTCCTCTAAAAGTCATTCCATATTGAGAATCCAGGGTAAATATTAGTATAAAACGGACACTCTCACACCCACCTTTTATTTTAAGGATTACCTAATTTACTTTCAAACATGTGTATGCTATTGATAGAAGAGTTTTAAATATGTAGGGTATACATAGCAGCACTGCGGAACAGTAGTGTTAAAATTACAGAACTGTGATAGATTTGGTTTGTGATGTAGTAAATAAAGATATATCTGTTTCACTGCTGCTGCGCTTTGCATCAGTTTTGTGTCCTCTAAATAGCCATGTCTTAAAACTGACTACTGTAATCACTCCACACATCAGTTTGGCCCAAACACACACAGTGAGACGTCCATTATCGGAGCAATACCTGCAGGAAAGGGAGGCAGACACACAGGGGGATAGGAGAGAACAGAAAAGAGATTATATTGTGCGTATGAGTGTGTGCATGTGAGTGTCAAGGCCACCCACAGATGAGTTCACGAGGACGAGGGGTTAATCTGTCTACTCAGACGGCCGTTGCAGTGAAAAGGCTGGGAGGAGGAAGAACCACATAATCTGATGTCCCGCCTGCCGCTCACTTGAGCCAGCAATAGTCTGGGCTGGGGAGGGTGTTGCTCAGCATAGCCTCCCTAAATGGATTACAGGACAGCACATGCCAGTGAAAGGGCACCTGGATGCACATACACAATCATGCATGCACACACACACTGTACATGCAGGTGCACAAGCAGAGGGGATTAGTTGGGAGTGCATTTTTCAACCTCTGCGAGGAGCTTAAAGTCATTACCAGCTGAGACAGACAAGAGGTGGTGGAGCTGCTCTGCATCTTTGACATTTCTCAACCTTTTCTCTCAGTGTTTGAATTCTTCCTACACTTTGACCTTCACTGGCTGCCAGCTAAATGATTCCCCTTTCTTCCAGATATCTGTTTCACTGAAGTCTGACTTGAGTATCAGGTGCCTGAGAGCTGCCAGAACAGGAGGATGGAGGCAAAGTCAAACCCAGAGTCCGAGGCCCAGGGCACGTCTCTGGACACATCGGGGTTCGAGGTAACCGCCGACCGGCTGGAGCAGCTGATGAAGAGCATGGAGGTACTGTTGTCGGATGTGGAGCAGCTGCGGGGACACTGCAGCCACCAGGCCACTGAGCTGATGCGTGCGGCGGTGGAGCTGAGGCAGCAGCAAGACGAGCTAAAGGAGGGTTACAGTGAGCTGTCCAGAGAGATGCAGCAGATCATGGATTCCGTGGACGACCTGTTCAGCACCAAGAGTGCCTTCGAAGCCAAAGAGAAGCAAGCACAGAAACTGAACCGGCAGCTCTGAGGGACAGAAAGTGACTGACGGACTTTGTTTCTCATCGAGGAGACAACTGTGAGGGGTGTGGTTTTGGATTTGGATGTGTGGGTCTGAATTTGGACGGGATGGGTTTGGAGGTGGGGTGATATGCTGGGGTTTGCTTTAATGAGATTCTAAATGGCATTATATAACATTTTTGTTGTACCTTGTACTTTTTAGGTCTATATCTGACAGCCACGGTCACTAAAAATAAGTTTGTATATTGCAGGAATCTGTATCAGTACACTTAGTCCATTAACTATATCACAATGCATACAGCCTCAAAAATAACCAGGAAGTTGAATCAACACTCTCTGTTGTAGTTTTAATAAAACGTGAACATTATGAACAAAGGTACAATTTGTTGCATTGCTTTCATACTAGATTGCTATGTGGTGCTTTATTAAATCATTAACAAGACCATACAGACCTGCGCTGCATATCAACAAATGATTTACTATAAGCCCTTTTACACTGCCTCTTCAAGATGGGAATTTCGGGCCATTAAGCCGCCAAGCTGCCTCGCCGATCTGTATAAACGGTTTAATCACTGAATGGAGGGATAAAGTTGTCTCGCCTTTAAGTCAGCATTGGAGGTATTAACAGCGCCAAAAAGACATCTGTATAAAAGGCATGGCCAGCAGGACGGTATCATGGGTGGCACGGATGTGATGTATTGCAACGTCTAATGTGTACCAGGAGATTTAAAAAATAGCAGGTAGCAGCCAGCAGACAACTCAAAGAAGTAGAACAGTGGCTGAAAATGTCTGCAATTTGGGAAACAATGAGGTCTGGGTGGTCCTTACCCTCAAAGCAGAGGACAAGATCAACAACCATATAACAGGGATGATAAATGCCATGTTAATGTCATTGTTATTGTTTATAAAGCGCTGCCTGGCGCATATGTTGTATGTCACAACATACAGTGACACAGTTGTGTTAAACGTCACACCAGTAATGCCTCTTTTGCTTAGGATAGGATGGATGGCACGGGTGTGACATTTTGACAATGTCTTATGCGTGCAACCCACCACGGGAGATTTAAAAAGCAGCTAGAAACAGTTAGCAGCTAACTCAAAGAAAAAGAACAGTGGCCAAAAATGTCTGCAAATTGGGATACAATGAGATTTGCCCTCCAATCAGAGGATGAAATCAGCCGCCATAAAACAGGGATGGTAAATGATTGTTATTGCCATGTCAGTGTCATTGTTATTGTTCAGAAAGCACTGCTGATGCACGTGTTATATGTCACACTACATGATGCTGATATGCAGTCTAAAATCATACACTAGAGCGATGCTGCCGTTGTTTGGTTCTGTATAAAAATGGCATAAATAAGGGGCTTTGTGGCGGCCCTATAGTACAATCTCTGCGTTAAAAGGGCTACTGCGTGTTCAAGGCGAGAATTTCCTGCTGGGGGACAGAGTTGTTTCGCCTTTAAGCTGGCATCAGAGGTAGTAACAGTGCCAAAACGACAGCTGTATATAAGGGAAAGCCAGCAGGATGGGTTCATGGATGGCACGGGTGTGACGTTTTGATGATGTCTTATTTGTGCAACCCACCAGCTATCAGCAGTTAGCAGCTAACTCAAAGAAGAAGAACAGCTGCCAAAAATGTCTGCTAAAATAAGGAGATTCAGGAGCTCCTTACCCTCTGAGCAGAGGACCAGATTAGCCAACATATAACAGGAATGGTAGATGATTGTTTTGACTTGTTATGCTATTGTTGTCAGCGGCTCTATAGCGTGATCCATATGTTAAATGGGCTCATGACTTCTGCTATCACCATTTCTTTTCCTTCCCACCCACTAACAAACATATACATCACAGCTATTATCTCCCTCTAACAAGGCATTCTGCGCTGACAGTTAAAGTATACATCCACACCAAAGTATACATTATACGTTGCTCTCGTCAGCCTTTATGGCTCCTGCAGCTTTTTCTCTGCTGAATTTATGGCACAGGAATGTTGCTCCTCACCGATGACTGCTAGTACATCTTCCATATTCTCTTCCCATCCACTCTTCCCTCCACTGTGGCTTCTCACTAAAATAAACCTAAATGGAGCCTTAAGGCAATGTTTACCTCCCAGAGGCTGTGTGCTGTGACTTACTGGTCTGTACTTAGTGGTTCTGGGACGTGTGAAGGGGACAATCAGTGGCCAGTGTCCTGAAAAAAATCAATCAGCGGGTAACATCAAGAGTTTTGACCCTCAATCATATTCTGGTGGGTTTCTTATGTAATATATATGCAACAATTCATAGGTGTGGATTCTGAAGGGGGTGCAAGGGACAAGTCCCCTTCAATCTTTAGAACATGTAGAACATTTTGTCCCCCTGATAAAAAAATGAAAGTAGCAGAGGACGTTTTTGGACATAAATAAAGAGGTTTACACCATAAATTGATGCAGAAAAAGCACAAATTGATGCAGAAAAAAATTAACCAGACGGCAGGATATTAAGTGTTTGATGCTCAAAATTTTCTGGTGCAGGACCCCTGAAACCCCCCGTTTCATATGTCCTCTCCAAAGTTGAAGCAAAGCCTACACCCTTCCAACTATTAAATGCTGCACATCAAAATATTCTCTTCCTTTTCTTCTGTGTTGGAACAATTATTTAAATCAGCTGCTGCAGAAAAGCGGATTTTTGTTTTTGATCATTTCTCTAACTAAAACCCACGAGTGCTAATGAGAGGACTCAACATAAAACTATAACATCAGTAGTCCCACAGCCCCGAGGGTCGTAAGTGGAAAAACCCCTGTTCCAAATCCAAGCTTATATTCAGCGTTAAAAAAAGAAGTCAACATTTTGTGGCTGAAACCTGACACTTTATGGGCTGTGGTGTTGGTGAGCAAAGAGGGTGAGGAGATAGAAAGCCAGGCGTCAGTGCCTACCTTCACTGCTGAGGTGCACATCCCTCTGGACTGCTGGTCGACCAGCTGGGAATTCACTTCAAGAAGGTAAGACGAATCTGATGATGATATTAGCTGTTTAATATCTGTTGCCTTGGCACATTAAATGCACGTGTGAAACATTAGCGAAGACATCACCAAGGATATCAAGAAATGTGGATACTGTTTGAAAAATATGTATTACTGCACTCATCATTCATAATAAATATAATAGTTGCATTTATTTTTTGTTATTTAGCTTCTATCCTCATCAGTAGTTCTGCAGTATCTTCTGGTGAAAATGAGCATCCTACAAGTTCTGGGTCTCCTGCAGCTGCTGGCTGTACCTACCTTCACTGTGAGTCTCTCTTTTACCAATACTAATAATACTGTACCATTTGAATGTCCATGTCAGTAATAAGTACGCAGGAAATTGCAAAGAACACAATGTCCTAAATATCTGCAGAAAAAAGCAACGTATGTTCTTTCTGACACATGTGTTTATGTCACACAGCGGGTTTATGCAAAGTGCATACTATAGGGGACTGTTTGTGGCTAAATGTTCCAGCATCTATATTTGGTGTCTCTAGCATGCTCTTAGTGTGTGTTAGTGGTTCGTGGTGGGCTCTGATATGGTGTGTCAGAGTACTATGTGTTCCAGAGGCTGAGCAAGAGGGAGTTTTACTGCTTTTTTGTTTTTTTTCAGCTGACACGTCCGACCGCTGACTACTGGGGAGAGTTTGGCGCCTATGGGCCCTGCAGCCGCACCTGTGGCACGGGAGTGGCTATGAGAACCAGGAAATGTATCACTTCGAGGTAAAGAAGCAGGGTGATAGGATTGTTAAATATTTTGAATTAGGGATTTGATTTTTAATAAAAGTAGCACAATAATTCTTATGTTTTAAATATATCTGTGCACAATAGACTCTATAAGGTGTGTTATCACTCTTATCATGACATAAATGTTTTTATTTACTAATATCAAAAAGCAATTGACAACCAACTATTACTCATGATATATTTAACAAAATAATTCAAAAATTAACTTTAAAATTAGGTTCTCCGTGAAGGTTTTTTAAATTAAATTAAATTAAATTAAATTAAGTTAAATTAAATTAAATTAAATTAAATTTTTTGGTAGAGTTTGCCTCCTTATTAGAAATGGGTGTGCACAATATACTAATACAGTAAATTAAAAATTCTTTCATAACTTTTTGTACAGGCCCAGTTGAATACTGCATTCCAATAAAATGTATCACAAAATCCCATGGCACACCGGGATTTGCATCACGGCACACCGTTTGAGAACCAATGTTTTATATCATAATCAATCATCAATTATATTGCATTGCTTTTTTATTTTTAGTTACTACTTGACTCTATAGAAAACACCATAAGATGATGTTCAAAGTTATGTTCATGATCTGCATTTAAAAGTGTAAGACAAGACCAACACAGCCAAATGTACTTCACAATAAAGAGAAATATTTGGTTTGCAAGTACAGTAAATATCATTCTTTCCTCTCTCTTACAGGACAGACGGAGGACATAACTGCTTAGGGTCTTCCAAGTCCTTCCGTATCTGTAACACACAGGTAATTATCCTTAAACTTTATATATTTTAATTGCCTTTATATAAATTGCATCCACCCTCAACCTGCACTAGTGGTAAAAGATGCCAATAATCCAACACTGTGTCACTGCAGGAATGTCCGGCTGGATCCAGAGACTTCAGGGAGGAGCAGTGCTCCCAGTTTGACAGAGTAGACTTCCAGAGCAAACGCCAGACATGGGTGCCTTATTATGGAGGTATGGGACCTGTTATGCACTGTACATCTACACTACTCGAGTCTAAGTGGAGTAATACTTTCAGTTAATTCCTGGTGCTTAATTTAACCTCCTTAGATTTTCACTTACATTAAAAGTGTATGTACAAGATAGACATACATACTGTGATTGTCTTATTTTCCTGACTTCCTGTCTGTATTGTCCTATAGTATATAGAAAGCCCTGGTTCATAGCAGTCAAAACATATCAAAAGTTTGTGCAGATACCATTTAATCTATTCATTTATCTACTGTTTGTTCTGTAGCAACCAATCCATGTGAGCTGACCTGTGTCCCAAGAGGAGAGAACTTCTTCTACAGACACAGACCTGCAGTGGTGGATGGGACAAAGTGCTACGTGGGCCGCACTGATATCTGTGTGGATGGTGTCTGCAGGGTGGGAACACTATAATGACAGACTCTCAGAGCTCTTTATTTTCCTTAATCAGTCACTTTTGTTTATATTCACAAGTGCACAAGTATTGTAATTGAAAGTAGTTTATCTCTCTCCAGATACTGACCCAGGGAGACTTTATGGGCCTGGATGAAGACACTAATTCCGTACACGCTGCTGCCTCTGTTGCTGTCGCTCCCCACCCAAGAGAGACGCTCACATATGTCTACAAGACTGGTGTCTTTGGCCAGTGCTCTGCCTCCTGCAATGGAGGCATGCAGTACCGCACCGTGCAGTGTTGGGTTCAGGACCCAGCGAACCCCCGTGTGGTGGAAGAGACTTACTGCATCACCCAGCGCCTGCAGAGGCCACAGAGCCAGCAGGCCTGCAACATGCATGCGTGTGCTGGTTCTGCTGGTGCTGCTATTTCTTCTGCTCCTGCTGCTGAGTACAGCGTCTCCAGCTTCAGTGTGGTGTGTATCTTACAGTAGAGAACTTTACATTTTGACTCTTATACAGACAGACAATGACATATTGTCTCTGGCAAAGGAATAGGAAAAAGTTAAAGACCTAACAAAAACATACCTCTGGTGGAATTACAACATAAGTGTACCAATCAGTGTGCACTTTTGCTGCATTTGTGCACCGTCCATTGATTGATTTTATTTGATAAATTAAGAAACAGCACACAGATATGCATGAAGTACTAAAATTCAATGGGATATCACAATAAAGTCTCATGACTTATTTCCACTAATACACCTATAATGAAAATAAAATAAAATAAAACAAAATGAAATAAAATGAAATTAAAATAAAATAAAATAAAACAAAACAAAACAAAATAAATAAAATTAAATAAAATAGAATAAGATAAAATAAAGTAAGAATCATAAGTATTATACAGTCAAGAGAATAAAAAAAACAATCCAAAACTCACAGTGGTCCAAGACAGGACGTTTTACTATACTAACCCATTTTTGTCTGCTGTTTTTTAAAACTTGTCAGAGAATGGGCAGAGAAATGTCCTGCTACCTACTTTGCTTTTTAGAAGGGGGTTGTTTCAGGTTAGACGGACTGGCTCTTGTATTTAATCTATGAGTCCCAATTCCGAACATATTGAAAATACCCAGTAAAATAATTTTCACTAGGTATTTTATCATGGATGGATTACTGAACAGGCCTACAGGGCACAGGCCAAGGGGCACAAGGTGTCAGAGCCCACAAAAAGTGACAGAGAGCAAGTACAAAAAGATTAAAGATGACTACAAAGAGACACAAAACAGTAACAAAAACTGGCAACACAACCACAGACACAGAAAAATTTTGACATTGGGGAGCCCTCTGCATGTCTATGCTTAGGCCTTTTGTCTGATAATCCGCCCATGGTAGAAAGAAAAAGTAATAATATAGTCACTGAAACACTGAGGTTTATAGTCATTATTATAACATTTTGTTGTATCTAGTTTGACATGGGGACTACAAACTGTCTTGACTATGGTCCTGTATCTATGATCATTATGTTGAGGTATCAAAATTTATTTTGTCATGACATGATGTTTATTTTCTTGTGGGACTGACAAAAATCTTTGTCGCATGTGACGGTCAGTGCTCTGTGACTTGTGGGGAAGGCCAGCAGACGAGGGAGGTGACCTGCGTGGGTGCGAGAGGTGAACACCTGCCTGAGCGCGCCTGCAGTGGACTGGCAAGACCCGCTTCTGTCCAGACCTGCCGACGACCTGCCTGCCACACATACATCACCTGGCATGTGACTGACTACGGACTGGTGGGTGAAATGAAGCAAAAGGGGAGAAAAGTGTTTGACTAGGTGTCTCTCCTTATGTATTATTGACCCTGACCCTATTTATCCTGTCTTGTCTCTACAGTGCACTAGGAGCTGCGGTGGTGGTGTGAGGGAGAGGAGAGTGGGCTGCTTCGACACCGATCTGAACCCTTACCCAGAGGACCAGTGTGGCCCAGCTAGCAAACCCGTCTCTGTGGAGACATGCAACGCTCAGCCATGCCCCAGGGCACAATGTGAGCCTAAATCTGAACACACACTCTTTCAGTTTAATTGTCTGTGCTTGCTTGTATTTAACCAGTGTACTTTATGTCAGTGGTCCCAAGTGTGCAGGACCCCAGGGCACATGAAAACATCATAAGAGGATTTGTACCTCATGTTCCAGCAGACCCTTCAGGTATGTAGAGTGTGTGGAGGATGGTAAATGTTATTCTCTCTCTATGCATGGTTGAATGTACATATTATGTTCAGGTGAACGCATCCTCAGGCAGTAAAGAAAATGTGCAATTACGTTGTAATTGTTGCTGTCTAGACCTTGATTGCACTGCTTTCTCATCGTCTCCCTTTCACAAACCTAAAGCCCAGAGTGCTTCTTTTCCTGCCTCACCGCTGAAAGTCATATTTACATTCTAAAGAAAATATCCATCCAAACTTAACTGCAGCCAGATTTAATCTGGTACAGTGTGTTTGTTTGACCATGTCTGCGTCTGTGTTTACTTGCTTTATAGCTTCCAGGCCACAAACAAACATTGTATATGATCCCTATCCTGCTGCGGTCGGTCCTCACTGCACACAGTCATATTATGGCTGCTGTCCTGACGGCTACACCTCTGCCACGGGGCCCAGGAACGAGGGCTGCTACCAGAATGACTGTGTTCGCACCAGGTAATGCTGCTGCCTGGATCCAATTCTTGTAACCAATGTGACGTCAATGAAACTGATAAATAATGAACTGGCTCAATATAAAGTGTGTCCAACATAAAACAAAAACCTCTCTTCTTTAGGTTTGGCTGTTGTCTGGATGGGGTGACTCCAGCTCAAGGATTTGGAAGGATTGGATGTCCTGAGTTCCTGACAACTGTGGTAGGAATCACATCCACTTCTTGACTTTTTGCAGTTATCTCACAATGCAGATTCATTAAAGGGACACTCCACTGATTTTACAAGCCAAAGTTACTCTACTCTTCATGGAAGGTGCAACTCATCCTGTAAAAGTAGTTGTCTTTTTTGGCTGTGGAGAAGCTTTGGCAAGTCTGAGAAAATAACCTGATTGATATCATTATGACATCACTGAGGTTATCTTAGCTTTAAGTAACAAGCGGGAAATTATTCATTTAACCGTTTTTAAGTTTAAGCTGCGCATATTATATTCTGAACTAGTCAGCATGAAACTTGTCTTTGGACTGCTGCTTTATCTTAGTAACATTATGGCCCAGACACTCCAAACTGACATCAGAGTTCTAGTGGTGATGAAGGCTGACTGTTGCCGCCCCTCTTAATGCCTGTGTCTTGGTCAAAAAGTTGCACTGTGACTAACTAGCATGAATGCTCTGTGCCTGCATGAAAGGGAATTACTCAAGACTGCAACAGGTAGCAGTCTGTGTTCGTCATTCAAAAAGGGAAACTGGAAGACCGAAAGGAAGGATTCAAGAAGCTAGTTAGCCAGTTAGCACATTAACAACACACCCTGATTTTAAAAGAACAAAGGACATTTATCGTGCGTTAGTGAACAATAATGCAAACAATTCCGAACCATTTCTGCTAAAGAGCTCAATGGCTAAAGTGTGTTTCAGTCTCACTCCCTTTTGACTTCAGTTGTTTGTTTACCTTCCTCAATTCCATTTCTCTTCTTATCCACCGAGCCGAACTGCCAATCAGAGTGATTATATTCATTGACGAGCTCCGCTGTCTCTAACACTGATTCGACATGCTGAATCGCTGGAAGAAAAGCCAACAAGGGCAACAAGGGACACACCACAAAAACTAGGGTGACAAATGCTCACCGCCAGCCCAACGTCACCTTAATGTGTCAGGGCCCTTACTGTTACGTGTTAAAGGATGCTGGGGATTACTGTTAACGCTGACATCACTAGAAATGCCATTTGTACTAGTCTTTTCAGGCTCCATCAGTAGTCCATCATGTTTGCATGCCTTCAACTTTACATTATTGAAACTTGTCTGTGTATAGCAAGTGATGCTGCAACAGCAAAGGGGGCTCATATATAGAGGGAAAGAGAGTGTGCCAGGTGTGTTGTCCAGGGGGCTGATGCAGCGTTTCAGTCTGTCCTCCAGTGCTGAAATTTATTAGACATCACTATAGATGTGTGCAGGAGGCGAACAAACAAGTACAGGTGCAAAGGGCTTCATTTAAATATTTAAACAAAATGGTTTTAAAATCCAGAATATAACTTCTATAGAAAGATTTATTTATTTTTAGTTTTTTTTCTTGCTTTTTTGGTCTTTCTTTCTGTTATTTTTGCTGTTGCTGTTCTTTTAAGTTGTAATATTATGAGCTCCAGTACTGTAGGTGGCAGCATGCACCTTTAATGTTGGTCTGTAGCCTGCCAGTAAAACCAAAGAAGAGGAAGAAGAACGATAAACGTGCAGGAATTTCATTATAAGCATTATAAGCGCTTAACTTGTGGTAATCTGTGAAATTACTTGCAATCCTGCACAGAAATGTAGGCCCTGTTTAAGTACAAATTGAGAACAGACAGCCTGGGGGTGTCACGGGTCACAAAACTCAAATTAACCCTCTAAATAGTCCCTGTCATATACAGCATGTGAAATTTACTGGCCATACAGGATGATTTGCCATCTCTCTTCCTGTCCTTTAAGCAAAACCCACCACCTCCAGCCCCTCCATCCACCGGTGACGTATGCTCCTTGCCTCGTGACGAAGGCCCCTGTGATACCTGGAAGGTCCGCTTCTACTACGACTCAGGCACTAGCAAATGTACCGAGTTCTGGTATGGAAGCTGCCACGGCAATGCTAATAACTTCATGACCCTGGAGGCATGCCAGAGAGAGTGTGGGGGTGCAGTGAGGGAGACCTCACCTGCACCTCGCAGAGCGACCCCAAGGAGAGGGTCATCCAGCAGTGCTTCAAGGGCGAGGGCATAACCATGCTCCCCATTAATACCTCCAAATCAGTGCTATCTCTATGAAGCTAGCCACACATTGTACACGTAGTATTTACATACAGTATATAAAGTCACACACAGACGTGTATTGTAAAACTTACCACACCCTACCTTTCAGTTAAACATCAGAGTCTACATCATCTCGGTAGTCTCACGCTATAACTTACATGATTTCAGATTATGGTTCTGATTGTTACCTTTTAAATCTTTGGTATTTTATTTGTGATGCTCACTATATTCACTTATATAGTTTGCCTTTTAGATCAGGACTATAATAAAATGATGTCAGTGTGATTACCCATGTGAAATAATACACCTGATCAATAAATCCTCAGCTATCTGGTAACCTTGAAATAAAATGGCGTGGTTAATCTTTGTCTCCATCTGCTCTAGCAATGTTACCAAAAATGCATTTCACCTTAATTTGACAATCATTTGTATTAAACTATTGGTCTGTTTTAATAAACAAAACACAGTGGTGTGAGGTAACTCGCTGCATTTACTCAAGCAATGTAGTTAAATACAGTTAGAGGTGATAGTGTGCAAAAGATCCTTATTTTCTGTTAGGTCTATTTTACTTCTACATTATGCTTTTACTCCATTACATTTCATTGTTACTACAATAACAGTGATGTAATGGTAGTTGAGGAGGTGAGGATACTACTAGTAGACGGGTAGGTTACTGAGGAGGAGTGGGTGAGAATGGAATGTGGTCCATTGATGTCTATAATTAACATTCTGACTAATGCAATTTTGACTAGGAGAAATGCTATTATGGATATCTAAAATATAATTACAGATAGGAGTGTGGTTCGATTAAATGTCAAAAGGACTTGCCATAGTATGTCATCATAATGTCAATCATAATATGGTAATAACAATACATGTTGCAATATAAAACTGACAGAAGCCATTACGGTACATAACATGTTCTTTTACTTTTTTATTTCTGATAATCAACTTAGGTAAGATCTTAATAAAAGACTTTTATGGGATTGCCTCTTTTAATTAAGTACAAGCATATCATTTTTTTCAACCGCAGACAAAATGTTTCTATACATTACAAATAAGATTTGAGCCTGTATTTTTAAGGCCAGACTTTTATTTTGAAACCAAAACTTTATTTTGAAGGCACCTCACTTTACAACCGGAAGAGACTTTATTCACATCCCCCAAATATTTTCCCTCAAACGGCTAGCTGCACCGCAAGGGGAATTAAGTAGCAGTAAATATCGTTTTTTCGCAGCTTCGCATTCCCAGTAGATAGACAGGGTCTGCAGTCACCACCAACATGGTAAGAGCTTTTAGTTTGACGGTTCAAGCGGAAAAAACACGGTGTATTTGCTGTATTAGCTCCTGTTAATCCGTCGTAGCTAAGCTAACAAGCTAAGAGGCTAACGTGTACATTACGCTGTCAAAGGTGTATTTTGACCTACTTATCTGTTGCTACTGTGTCCTAGTTGTAATTTTTAGTCAGCTCTTCTCCGTTTGTTATCGTAAATATTATTAAAGTAATTTATACGGGACGTTTTTTTTGAAGATTAGCTTTTATGCTAGCGTTACAGTTAGTGAGCTGTTGCTAAATAACCATCTGTTTGAACACTTCAGGGAGAAGGTAACGCTACTCGTAATGTTTGCTGTATCAGGGTAAAACATGAAACTGTGCATCAGTAATTCAGGGGGTGTGGTGTAATATAACGAGCTGGCATTGTTGTTTGTATTTAACAATATTAATCATCTTTACAGTCGCACACAATTTTGCTTGTCCAGCCGACCAAGAGACCTGAGGGCCGCACATATGCTGACTATGAGTCAGTGAATGAATGTATGGAAGGTGAGTCTGCAGCTGTTTCTTAATAATTTTGACTAATAAATCACATTTTGTCTTTAGTTTTGGTGTACTGAGTGTAGTCAAAACCTTTATTCTGTTATTAGCATTATTACATTTTTATTTTACCTATATCCTTCAATGAAGCCACTGAAATAACTGAATTTGGCTTTAAGCATAGTGATGGCTCCCAGTTATCGTTTGGAGGGTAGGCTCATTTAATATCTTAAGCATAAAACATTATTTAAGACTATTTGCAGGTTACAATCTGCCTGAGACGTATATAAAAATAATCAGCTCATTTGTTCTTAGATTTATTTTAGGTGTATGTGTGGTGAATGTACAGTAGACTTTTTATTAATCCTTTGATATTCCTTTTTTGCTCCCCTTTTAGTGAAGTGTTATTTATTTTACAGTCTTTGCAGTGAACGCTATTACATTGTTGTGAATGCTGTGATATAGTCTAAATTAATGGTTCCCAACTAGTCCAGCCATGGGGTCCAGATTTCTCCTGTGTCAATAGTTTAAGGTCCACGCAGTTTAACACATTCAGCGTCATACTTGCATTTGGCCATGTCGTTGAGCTAGTTTGCTGTCTCTGTTAAGTAGCTGTCTGTCATTCCCTCACTCTATAGTAGGAAACGGCATCTCTATCGTACGTCAAAATAAAGGGGGATTTTACAGCCTTGACATGTATGTGAGTCACTTGCGATCCATTCAGAATGGACCTGTGACCCACTTTTGGACAGTGACCCACCAGTTGGGAACCACTGGTCTAAATTGTTTGTCATCTGTGCAATTTAGCTGTAGCTGTTTTTGTGCACACTTTTAGAAATGTTTTTGCTTTTACTCATGTCCCGTGCCTCTCTTCCAGGTGTATGCAAAATGTATGAAGAGCATCTTAAGAGGATGAATCCAAACAGCCCCTCTATCACGTATGACATAAGTCAGTTGTTTGACTTTATTGACGACTTGGCAGATCTGAGCTGTCTTGTGTAAGTATGAGTCAGCTGGTAAATACCTGTTGATTTGAATCATGTGATCGCCCTTGCATTGAATGTGTTGATCGCTTCCAGTAAACAGTATCATTACATTTTTATACAGGTACAGAGCTGACACTCAAACATACCAACCATACAACAAAGACTGGATCAAGGAGAAGATATATGTCCTGCTGCGGCGTCAGGCTCAGCAAGCATCAAAGTAAAGGCACCAGTGAGGAGTTGTCCCGCTACACACATTTTGAAGGAGTTTATGCTGCACTACATTTCCACAGTGTCTTGAAGATCTGTGTACGAGGACAACAATGTCAGTTTGGCGAGGAAAGGGTTTACATACTATAGTGTACATGGGGAAAGGAGGGGGTTTGAAAACTGGAGAAAATCAGATGTTTGGGGATTTATATAGAAATGGGGTTCATGCTCGGCAGCATACCTGTGTTTGTAATTTGTTACATTAAGATCAGAGTCACGCTACAAGGACTAACTTATTGATGGGGAGGGATCTGGAGGAATGCTGCACGGGTTTGACTTTTTTTTTTTTGGTTGGGTCAAATTTTTAGTTGTGTGCTCTCGGTTTCCCTAAACGTTACATGACATTTTTTATATACCTCCACTGCAGTTGGATTTGAATGTGCTGTGGATGTTTGAATGCAGGTGCTTTATTTTTGAATGAGATAAATGTCTGCAGACTAACCCATCATTTTTCATTGATTATTGTTATTGTTGTTACTATATCCCATCATGTGATGTGAAATGCTCTTTTTTGTAATTATTTTGTTTTACATAGAATCTGATTTCAGCTACCCCCGTTTCTGTTTTCTGTGATTTAAACAAAATAAACAGTTGTTTTCTGACTGGTCTCCACTCTTGAATATACAAGTGTTGTCACAGTGAGGACTAGATTTTCCTGCTTATTCAGTCTCAGTATTGAAACTGCTGGTTTACAAGGATCTACATTTGGATCCATGTATTTGTCAAACTGTTATTCTACCAGTTAAATATGGTGTAGAGTGGCTTGATGGTAAATGAAATGAAAGATAAATGGCAGAATGATGTTGGATGTTGCTGGAGCCCATTTGTGCTGATGACCCTAAGAAATTGAGTTTCTGTGCATGTTACTGTCTCTTTAAATGTGGCGGGCTGCCCTGTTGTTGCTGTGCTGGAAACCCCGTACTGACTCTGAAGGGACCCAAGATGGCTGAATACTCACGGGGGGACAGTTAGCAATTATCTGAGCAAGACGTCGGGAATGAATGGCAAATAGCACTATAATGTAAAGCGTAACCTTGGAGTAACTACACGACTGCAGTTTGTTGGTTTGCATAATTTTTGGGATGCATGAATACCAGTAAGGAGAGAGTGGTCTCTCCGCGGCCCCGAGCCAGAACATGGCGGAACACTTGGGGAAGAAATAGCAGCTAACGCTAGCTAGCTGTCGTATTATTGAGATACCATTGGAAACATTGGTCCGGGGTAAACACGGTGTCTGCGGTCCGCACGTTTGAAATAATGTTATCGGTGCACAGCTCTGGTCATTTCTCTTCAACGACTTTAACACTGAATATGTGGAGCGTAGGCAGTTAGCGTACTAGCTAGCGAGTTAACTCGTTAGGTTTTCTAGCTAACGCAACTGGCTAACGTTGCCCGCAAGCGTACAAACTGTACTAATAAGCAGGCAGATTGTTTTGAGGGGCAGAGATCGTAACATTGATGCTTATTCTGAATACTCCTCTCTCAGTTGTATGCTGGGGCTTCCCAATGTATTGTCAGCCCTTGTTTTGTCGATTAACACGTTAGCTAAAGTCATTGCCCTCCGCACTGTAAATTGTTAGCTTGCTACAATGGTCTGTAAGCTGATTTTGTGTGGCGCTTTGCCTACAACACTGGCGAGATAAGTTTTGAGGCAGCTTGTTAAAAAACTCAGATATTGTAGTTGTAACTGCATAATCGATAAGGGGAATCTTCCTGGGTACCCGTCCAGGTGTTCCGCTTTTAAGCTCCTTCAAAGACGTGTTAGCCTGGTTGACCCCTGACACTAGATAAGTTAGTGCTGCATTGTAGAAGTGATCAGGTGGAGAATAAAAGTGAACTGAAGTTGTGGCGTTACTAGGTGAAGTCCTGTAAAAGCCAAGAAGGTCCGGAAGGGGGAACTGGTTACAACTACCTGCCAGGATGACGGACACTCGTCGACGAGTCAAAGTCTATACCCTCAATGAGGACAGACAGTGGGATGACCGTGGGACCGGACATGTCTCCTCAGGCTATGTGGACCGTTTGAAAGGCACGTCTCTACTTGTGCGGGCAGAGAGTGATGGTGAGTAACCACCTAAGGCAGGAGGAATGACATATACCAACTTAGAGATGACTTGCAGTGTATTGTAGGTGCTCAGGTATTACTATATGTAAACAATACCTCACACACACTTATTTGTGTATGTAACCATTGCTTGTGTGTAGCATGACAGCCACTTATGGACCTCGTTTCCTGACAGGTTCCCTACTGTTGGAGTCCAAAATCAACCCAAACACAGCCTACCAGAAACAACAGGTCAGTACATAGCATGGTGCACTACACTCTTGAATATGTATTTATTTTAATTTCTCTGTGCTGATTGTAAGTTGGCTTTGTTTTTCTTTTGGAAAGGACACATTGATAGTATGGTCCGAGGCTGAAAATTATGATCTGGCACTCAGCTTCCAGGAGAAGGCTGGCTGTGATGAAATCTGGGAGAAAATATGCCAGGTAGCTGCACTTTTCTGTGTGTGGGTGTGTGTTTGTCTGTTCCATCTGTATACGCGTTTGATGTTGAGTGTGTTTGGGTCTTCCTGGCTGTAGTTTCTGTAGCTAGTCACATCCTTCATCAATCATATGTTTGTGTCGTTGTTTAGGTGCAGGGAAAGGACCCGTCTGTGGACATTACCCAGGATGTGGTGGACGAGTCCGAGGAGGAACGCTTTGACGACATGTCGTCGCCAGGTCTGGAGTTACCGCCATGTGAACTGAACCGCTTGGAAGACCTGGCTGAGCTGGTGGCCTCCTCACTCCCGTCTCCTCTGCGGCGTGAGAAACTGGCACTGGCTGTGGAGAATGAGGGCTACATTCGCAAACTCCTGGAACTCTTCCGTGTGTGTGAGGATTTGGAGAACAGAGAGGGACTGCACCACCTGTATGAAATAATTAAAGGCATCTTCCTGCTCAATCGTACTGCACTCTTTGAGGTTATGTTCTCCGAGGAGTGCATAATGGACGTCATTGGTTGTTTGGAGTTTGATCCAGCACTCCCGCAGCCACGGCGGCATCGGGAGTTTCTAACAAAGACAGCCCGCTTTAAGGAAGTGATCCCCATCTCTGATCCTGAACTGCGTCAGAAAATACACCAGACGTATCGGGTGCAGTATATTCAGGACATGGTGCTGCCCACGCCCTCTGTTTTTGAGGAAAACATGCTGTCCACCCTGCACTCCTTCATCTTCTTCAACAAGGTGGAGATTGTGGGCATGCTTCAGGTGAGAAAGGCAGACATGTATTTAAAGGTCTGCTGGTGAAAGGTATTCTTTATTGTTTTCAAATTACGTGTGTACACCACCTTTTCATTTTAAAAAGGTTTTCTCTTGCCAGAAGCAAAAGATAAAAATGTATATGTTGTACAAGGATTAGAAACACAGTCCTGCCATAGCTTCAAAAGGCACACATAAGAGAATACTTTTAAAAATAGTGTTTATGCAGTGAGGACTGGAAATTACAGTAATTGTAGGATAGTACAAAGGTTTTATTTTGGCTGATTGTGCTTTACCCAGTCTGAGTTTGTCTGCTAGTCTTTTATGGTCATGTGACCTTTGTGTTTTTGTACTGTGTCAACTCAGCAGTGTTTATGTATGGCTGTCTCCATAGAGATGGGGAAGTGTTGTGTAAATCAGTTATGCTGCGGTAGAGGAAAACTGAAACTGGCCCGCTGTTGACTGTGGTACACTGTGATATGTGGAGTTCTGGAGTCAAACACTACTGATATGGGCCTTTCCTTCCTCACTTACCCTGAGACAGTTTTTACATATGAACAGTGTTTTATTTATCTAAACAAGCACTTTATATACTGGATTGCAGATTTAATTAAACAGAACCGAGCTGTTGGTTTAAACAATCTTATGTAAGTAACCCTTCAGGAGAATCCACCAAAATTTTATGTGTTAGTTTTTGAAGACGTTTTTGCATGCCATAGATTTTTTAGTGCAATCTGCAATTGTTAGATTTAGAATAAAATTGTGCTGACAAAGGAATAAAAACATTGTCATATGATAACTTCAAAATCAGTCACTGGTAAATACGATGGTTGTCATGTTTGTTTCCTGTTTATTTGTATCTGACTCACACCATTGCAAACTAACAACAACTTTGCTATGATAGATAAAGTGGAGTGCACAATCGGCCCTGGATAATCTGGGTCAAGTGTGATTTTTCCATATCCTTACTTGTTCACCCTCTCTTTGATACTCACACCCTTTCATCTCCCCTCCTTCTTGACGTCAGGACGATGAGAAGTTCCTGACAGACCTCTTTGCACAGCTAACAGACGAGGCCACAGACGATGACAAAAGACACGAACTGGTATGCTAGACCTTTTATCAGAGATTATTTATCAAATATTGCCCTCATTTTTCTCCTTGTCCCTTGTTTCATTGAGCCCTTCTTTGTTTCTTCTTTATAGGTGAACTTCCTAAAAGAATTCTGTGCATTCTCACAAACGTTACAACCTCAAAACAGAGACGCCTTCTTCAAGACATTGTCAAACATGGGCATTCTACCTGCACTAGAGGTCATACTGGTGAGTGCAGCAACCTCAACATAAATCTGAATCAAGTCCATAGGGCAAGTTTATGCAGACAGTTTTATAGCTTCAAATTATTCAGTATAGCCCTAAATTAAAAATTGATTGAAGTGACTTCCCACTAGCAGAAAGATATGAAGCAAAACACAGGGTTCCCACGGTCATGGAATTACTAAAAAATCATTGGAAGTTTTGGAAAAGTCATGGAAATTAGTTGTGCATAATGAAATTGTTACAGTCAATTTATTGTCTGAAGCTGTTGACGTAATGTAGCTCTAATATGTGTCTGTGTGATATTTGTTAACCGTCACGTATGTTTCTTTATTTTCACCCTGTCTTCCACCTCTCCCTTCATGTATGCCAGTGAGCGGAAATTCTGTTTGAATCTGATGTTTGAAAAATGCTGGGCAAATAGGGCAAGAAAAAAAAATATTATGGGTCCTTTAAAAGTCATGGTTAAGTTTTAAAATTTTGTCCATGAAAATGTGTGGGAACCCTGAAGATGATATTAGTGTATTGACAGTATGTTGTTACAACTGTGCATCTATTCCACACAATGCAGTTTGGTTACCAGGGATTGCGCACACCATAATAACACCTTGTTGACTGTAACTGTGGTATTAAGTTACATTATGTTGTAACTGAGGAGCCAGTTTTATGATTTGTGTTTTTTTGTGTGCAGCTCTTGTTTGAAATGAATGACAAAAAGAGTGTAGAGTGTTAGTCTCAAGTTTAAGGTTATTTAAGTACTTCTCATTATGACCATGACACCGCATTTTTTATGAACAAGCAAATTAACTCGTAGTGCAATTAAACAAACCAAATATTAGTTTTGTCTGAACCTTGAGGCTTGCCAGACATTGAATATACATAGTTCAGCACACATACACACAAAACAATCAGGGCTGTTGCTGCAGGTTGTCATGTTATTATATAGTCTGAAGATGAAAGCGTAGAAAGGAGCATCTACTGGTTTTGAGTTTTGTCAAAGCTGATCTCCCCCCCCCCCCCCCCCCCCCCCCCCCCCCCAA